TGCCTCTTTCTCTCTCTATCTGTCTCTTGCCCCCTCTTTCTCTCTCTCTATCTATAACATCTCTATTGCTTCTCCCTCTCTCAGTCTCTCTCTCTCTCTTTCTCTCTCTTTCTCCTTCTCTCTCTGTTACCTCTCTCTTCTTTCTCTCTCTGCATCTATCTTTCTCTCTCTCTCTTGCTTTCCCTTGCCCTCTCTCTGTTTCCCTCTCGCTCTCTATTATCACTCTCTCTCTCTATTGCATCTCTCTCTCTTTCTCTCTCTCGCTCTCTCTCTCTTTATAAATATATATATATATATATAAATGTTACCTCTCATTGCCTTCAAGGGTTAAAGGTAAAGCAACTTACTCGGCTTGCTTCTGACCACTGTCCAATTCTATGCACTGTTCAAGGTGAAGTGAGGAGGGTATACTCTCATTGGATAAAATTTTAGGATGTTTGGGCTAGTTATCCAAAGGCCTGGCATTTGGTGTGGGAGAAGAGGAAGGTGGAGGATAGGAGCAGTGAAGCTTCTAAACTTCAGAAGAAATGCATTAGAACTTTAAAAGCTTTGTTTTTTTAGAGCAAGAACAAACTTAGAGTTCTTAATCAGCTTAAGGAAGAACTTGACAAGGAGATAAAATCTCTGCAGGAATTGGAATGTTTGCCTGAAGGATTATCTGAGGTCCAAATTGAATCTTTGAGGTTTAAGGTTCAACTGTTAAATAGTACTCTTGCCAGAATTATGACTTGGTGGAGGCCAAGGGCCAAGGTGAAGTGGATTGAAGAGGGGGATGAGAACACTCATTTCTTCCATCCAATAGCCTCGGCTAGAAGAAGATCTATGGCATTGACTCCATGAAACAAGAGGATGGGTCTGTGGTAACTGATAGTAGAGATATTTCAAATGTTTTCCACATATTTTTTCAGTAAAAATGGCATGAGCATTGCATTCTTGAGGATGGATGGCCTTCCCTTGAGGAACATAGAAATTATGTGTAACAATTCACTGAAGTATTGAATGAAGAAGTTACAAAAGAGGAAATTTGGCTTGCTGTGAAATCATTTGGCCGAAATATTGCTCCAGGAAGAGATGGTATAACTGCATCTTTTTTTAAGTTCTTTTGGGAAATAGTTGGAGAGCAAGTTGTAAAGGCTAGTTTGGAATTTTTTGCTTGTGGACATATGGACCCAAGTTGGAAAGAAACGATTGTTGTGTTGATTCCAAAAGTTATGAACCCAGATCATCCCTCCAAATTTAGGCCTATTAGCCTTTGTCAAACAATCTATAAGATTGTTGCAAAGGTTTTAGTTAACAGAATCAAAGGAGTTCTGCCATTGCTTGTTTCTGATGAACAAGCAGCTTTTGTACCTGGTCGATCGATCTCTAATCATTGTTTACTTGGTCAGGAGCTGATGAACAAATTTAAAGTTTCAAAGTCAGCTTTGGGGTTATTGGCTTTGAAAGTAGATATGGAGCAAGCATATGATAATATTAGTTGGAGGACGTTGGAGCTTGTGCTAAGAAGAATGGGTTTCCCTGCTAGATTCAGCTATTGGGTGCTCAGCTGTGTTAGAAATCCAAAGTTCACAATCCTGATCAATAGATAGCTAACTGAAGGGATTACGATAAACTGTGGATTTTGTCAGGGGTGCCCCTTGTCACCATACTTGTTCATCCTTTATTCAAAGCTTTTATCTGCCCATATTCATCAGAACTACAAGAAGTTGGGTGTCCCAATTTGTGGTGGGAGACCTCCTGTCTCCCACCTTCTTTATGCTGATGATATTTTGCTTTTTGCAGGTGCCACTATTCCTAATGTGATTAAGATTACTTCTATAATGGAGAAGTATTGTTCTTGGACGGGTCAAAGAGTAAACAGAAGTAAATCTGCCTTACTATTCAGCAAAATGACTTCTTCCTCTACTAAATCACGGCTTTCCAAGATGACTGGATGTAGGAAGGTTGAAGAGATGGAATATCTTGGAATCAGATTAGTGAGAAGATTGGTGAAGAAAGACTTTGGCTCTTTGGTGCAGCATGCTCATACCAAAACTTTGGCATGGGGAATTAGACATTTATCATTGGCAGGTAGAATTACCTTGATAAATGTTGTTTTGCTCCCTTCATCTGTATACTTGGTAACACATATGTTGGTTCCAAAATTTGTATTAAATTAGATCGAGAAGATTTGTAGAAGTTTCCTTTGGGACTATGATTCCAATCATAGAAGTATACATTATATGGCTTGGAAAAGTGTTGCTAGGCCAAGGAGGTTGGGTGGTCTTGGTTTTCAAGCAAGTGAGGACTGGATTGGGCCTTTAAGAGCTAGAATAGCGTGGGACATCAGTAAATTGATTGGTTTATTTTATAGATTTATGTCTGTTAAATATGGGAGATGGCCGTGGACTACTGATGTGAAGAGGGGTGACTCGGCTGTTTGGAAATTGATTTGTGATGGTGCTAGAAGTTTGAGCAGTTGTATAAGATGGTGGGTTTGTAATGGCAGGAGCATAGACGTTTTGAATCATATATGGATCTGGGACAGATTCATAGCAAGCTGGCCAAAGTTTTGTAACATTGAAGAGGTTGAGAACAGGATGGTTGCAGATTTGATGATGCTAGAGGTGAGTGGAATGCTGAAGTGTTATTGCTCTGTTTTGGAGCGATTTTTGCTGACCGAATTTTGGCAATTAAAATTTGGAATGGGCTGGAGGAGGATTCCTTGGAGCTGATCAAGATGATGAAGACCCGTGCTTTTCATGGTTGAAACTGGGATTGAGGCCTCGTGAATGGACTTTTTGGTGGAGAATTTTCAAGAATATTATCCCAATAAATAGCTGGCTTCATAATCGTGGATTTGAGGAAAGCTTGTCTTGCCCCATTGGTTGTTTGGCAATTGAAGATAGGGATCATGTTACCACAGGTTGTAAACAGTTACTGGATTGTTTAAATGTGCTGGATGGCTAGGGGTTTGTCACCCCACGGTTTACTTGTTTTTAGGAGCTACAAGTGGCCTTTGAGAACAATGTGAAGACCAAGACTTCGGTATGTTGCTTTACTATCTTGTGGTTTATCAGAGCTGGATGAATAGAAACTTGATCAAACATGGCAAGGATAGCTGCTCTCCTTGTTTTATGGCAGCAAATATTTTGGAAATCCTAAACTTTGATGGTTATTCTTCCCACCTGGAGCAACGGGATACTCTTCAATCCTTTGGATTGTTTTCAGGTTCTTCTTGTTGTCCCCCCCACCCCTAAAGGATGGTTGAAGATTAATGTGGATGGAGCTCTGCAAAGGTCTAATGTTGGAGGCATTGGGATAGTTATTAGAGATAGTATGGGCAAGTTGATTGTAGCAGCCGGCTGGAGTGTCCTTCATTGGGATAGCACTCAAGTGGAGATGATGGCTATTCAGTTTATTGAAAAGCTTATTGTGGAGTGGATGCTTGAACTTAAAGGGGTCATTGTGGAAGGTGATAATGCAAGTGTGATTGAGTATTTTCAGAAGTTTAAGCATAACGAATTATGGAAGATACACCCAGAAGATGTGGACAAATGGAGTTGGATGAAGCTTTTACAACAAGTGTTGTTTATACATACTAACAGAAGATTCAATATGGCAGCACATTTTTGTGCTCAAGGAGCTTTAGAGGATTCTTTCCTTTGGGATATAGAAGATAGAAATATATGTAGTCCTCAAGAATTTTTTAATATTCTTGAGGATGATAGCAGCTCTCTCTCTTTAGATTAGGGGCATGCTTGCCCTTTCTTTACTGTTATTTGTTGTTATAGTTTTTTGATGAATGCAAATACAAAAGTTCAGCTCTCTATTGCCTCTCTCTTGCTTTCTTTCGCTCTCTCTCTCCCTCTCTCTCTTACCACTCTCTCTCTATTGCCACTCTCTCTATATATATATACATATTGCCTCCCTCTTAATCTCTCTCTCTCTCTCCATCTCACTCTATGTACCTCTCTCTCTCTATTGCCCTCTCTTGCTCTCTCTCTCTATTGCCTCTCTTTTGCTCTCTCTCTCTTCCTCTCTCTTTATCTATCTCTCTCTTTCTCTCTTTCCCCCTCTCTCTATTGCCTCTCTCTCATTCTCTCTCTCTCTCCAACTTTCTCTCTCTCTCTATTGCCTCTCTTTTGCTTTCTCTTGCTCTCTCTCTCTCCCTCTCTATTGTCACTATCTCTCTCTCTATTACCCCTCTCTCTCTCCCTCTCCTCTCTCTCTTTCTGTTGCCTCTCTCTCTCTCTCTATCTCTCTCTCTATCTATATATATCTCTATTGCCTCTCTCTCTCTC